TGAAACAATTAACCAAAATATTTAAATCACAGGACTTGGTACTTATAAGGGACTTTAGGTACTGTGACATGCTGAGAAGGTAACAGTAGTACGTAGAGTCTCTTGATTTGCTCTTCTGTATAGCAAGGACTTGGTTGAGAGAGCCAGATGAAAGGCAGCTTTGCTGATAGTAGTCATAAAATGATAGAGTTCATGATTGTAAGGAAAAAAAGGAAGGACAGCAGCAGAATAAAAATATTGGTCTTCAGTAAAGCAGACCTTCAATCCTATGGGGAAAAGAAGTCCAGGAGAGATTGTTGTACTTAGAGACAGTATTAAGGTCACAAGAACATGCTATCTTGATGTGAAGGAAAGATATCAGCAAGAGACCAGCTTGGCTATACAGTGAACTGATCAATGACATGAAACTGAAAAGGGAGTCTCAGAAAAAGCGGTAAGTGTTAGTAATATATTACTAAGAACAAATACAACAGTTTAATATTGGCATGTGGAAATAAGCAGGAAGCCCAAGGCACAAATTTAGATTCAGCAAGTAAGAAACAAAAGGCAACAAAAATGGATTTCATAAGTATGTTAGAAATAAGGGAAGTAGGTGAAGAACAAGAAACGTATAAGTCCTGTACTGAATGAGAAGCTGAGGTAGCTAATAATGGAGGATGCAGAGAATATTGAAATATTATTTTTTTTTATTTCTTAAAAATAATATCAGCTCTCAGATGACAGGCATATTTAGCAGGAGATAATCAGCTAAGTAGTAGACAAAGAATATGTCAGAGATTACTTAAATTGGATGTTTTCAGTTCAGTAGGAACAGATCATTTCATGCTAGAGTATACAAAGATTTGGCTAAGGTAATTGTAGAGCCATTGTCTCAAAGAGCCATCTTTGAAAACTCATGGAGATCAGGCAACATCCTAAATGACTGGAAAAGTTAAAATATAGTGTAAATCTGTTAGTTAAAAAAAAAATTGTTGGTGGGTGGGAGGGAGGGAGGGAATGGACATAGAGACAAGGAAAATTCAGGGAATTACAGACCGGTCAGTCTAATCTCAGTACTTGGAAAGATGCTGGAGCGTGTCAGTAATGAATCTATTTCTAAGTATTTAGAGGACATCAAGGTGATAAAGAATAGCCAACATGGATTTGTCAAGAACAAGTCATGCTTAACATATCTGATTTCCTTCTACGACAAGTAAAAGAGGGTTTTGTGGATTGGGAGGAGAGCACTGGATACAGTATACCCTGAATTTAGCAAGGGTTTTGACTGTTTCCCTTTTAAAAGTATCAGTAAGCTAAGGAAATATACTGTTAGATGGCTACAGAACTGGTTGGAGATTCATGCTTGAAATGTAGTCCTCAATGACTTAATGTCTAACTGGGAAGAGGAATCAAGTGGGTTCCCTAGGGGTCTGTCCTGGGTCTGGTATTGTTTAATATCTTCATTAGTGACTTGTGCTAAGTACAGACAGTCAAAAAGCCTGATGCTGAATCAATTCAATCTTTGCAGGTTAGTTTAAATTGCAGAGATTAAACTGAGAAACAAGTGACAGACATTCACTTTTGATTCAGGAAATGCAGCCACATACCTGCTGCAGTGGCTCAGGTCAGAAGCCATGGGGCACTAGAGCATGGCTCCCAGCCTGCCAGCCACTGTCAAAGGGAAGGGACTGAAGCTCCAAGGCTTTTCCACTCTCCCTGCTGGGGGAAGGGGCATAAGCATGCCCTCTGTTCTCTGCTCAAGTGGGGTGGAGGACAACAGCTGGAGAGGGACTGCCCCCCCGCCAAACCCTGGCTGGGATCCAGGGTCAGGGAGGGGGTTTAAACCCACCTTCCCTGGCTTATTGTACTGGTCCTGGGCCGGAGCGTGACCATACCCCCTGATCTCAGCTGTGTGCGTGTGCTCTGGTAGACTTGATGCTGCTGAGGGACTGGAGCCTTTGCAATGTGCCTGTCCCTTTTAAAGAAAGGGAAAGCTGCCATCTGATAACCCCCAGTAACCTGTCTGCATTTTACTAGCTACATTCTATTCCCAGTTCAACATTCCCCCCCCCACCACTACCTGCCTCACACCTATTGTCTTTCATTCCCTCTGGTCCTCACTGCTACACATTTGTATGTTCACAACCTGCATTTTGCATATTGGCTTCTATTCTACCCAGGAGAATACACAAACATCAACAAACACTCCGTATGCCTGAAGAAGGGTGTTTGTCCTGAAAAGCTTGCAAAAAACAAAATTACCAACTACTTAGTTGGTCTAACAAAAGATATCACATCTACCCAAAGAATCAAAGCTGCTTCTCCCACTCTGCCTCTGTGGGTGGACACAGGGCACTGGGATCTGTTTGCTTGATGCCAGTTCAAGTGAGAGTGGAGACAGAGAGCTAAGACAGAACAGGAAACCTGCTGTAAAAGAGGTGAATGAGGGCAGAGAAAAGAATAAGTGACACTGTTGAAAGGAATAGTTTTGAGGGGAGAGAATGTTTGAAAGGAAAACCTTTGGCTGGATGGATCAAAAAATATAGTGAACTATTTTCTCTGAATGTGAGTAATTAATCTAACTTGCTACTGTAGGTAGCAGGAGAGTTCAGGATTTGCTGCTCGAGTGGAGACTCTGGTTTCCCAGTCCCACCCCGTTGTCAGCCAGCCCTCCCTGCTCTAGCTAGGGAACAGAGGGGCAGGGTCAACCCTGCTCTGCTAAAGCAGATGGCATAGCTCAGCCCAGGACTGCAAAGCATTCTGGGATGCTGGGGGACTGTGATTTAACTTGAACCAGGAAGGGGTCTGGGACAGAAGTTTCATAAACTGGTTTGACCTAAATCAGTTAAGTCTGATACTACATTCAACCTGGTTTATCTTAAGCTGGTTTTGGCCATTTTGAAACTGGCTTATATACATGTTCTGTTCTGTTACAGGTTTAAATTGGTTTCTGATCACCTAAATTGGTTTATGTTTAACTTTTGTCCCTTGCCTTGGAGGATGAAACTGAATGCACATTTAGTAAATATGCAGATGACACCAGTCTAGGTGAGGTACAAACTATCAGGTTGAGTCTTAATACCATCCTGCAAAGGAAGTGGACTGCAAATTACTCAATGGAAGTGCCCTGAAATTACTCAGAAGAAATTCAGTAAGAACAAGTACAAAGTACCACAAGGAGACAATCAAATGCAAAAATCATGGAATCATGGAAATGTAGGGCCAGAAGGGACCTCTGACTCCAGCATCTGCTCTGGACTCACCTGTCTGGCATGAGCAGCAGCAGTGGCAGTGCCAGGAAGAAACTGTTGCTCAGTGCTGGGGGAGAGTGGTCCTACCCCATTACTACCACCTCTGGGCTGCCTTGGACTGCAGCAATGACAGTGCAGTGCAGCTGCAGGGTAGCCCAGAGGTGGTGGCAATGGAGCCACAGGGCAGCCTGACACAGTGCAGGCTTCGGATGGATGCACCAAAAACTGCCTGGCAGTGGCGAGGGAGAGGGGCCACTTTCCCCCAGCACTGAGCAACAGTTTCTTCCTGGCGGCTCCTGCTGCTGCTGCTTAGCCCAGACAGTGGACCAGTGCAGAGCATGTGGGGTCAGGGTTGTACACTCATACATGCGGTAGGATGCACCACGGCTGGGTGGTGTAGAGCAGGCATGGGCTGCACTGGGGTAAATATATATTTACAATGATTTCACTAAGAAACTCTCCATCTTTATGCTTTGGACCATGGAAATGAGAGATTCATTCTGGAGATGGAAAAATGCTTTCTACCTGCGTGCAATGTTTGCCCATATTTTTCCAAGTTACAAACATTCAAAATTCCAGCGTTTGTATGTTGTCATTTCACTTGTTGGAATTTGGGAGTTAAATTCTCAGAAGATTGAGAAATCATGAAATTGGGTGATCTCTATGAAGTCTCCAGGGGAAAAAAGTAATAAAAATAAAATGCTGGCTTGCCAGTGGGAGCCAGCAGTTCTCCCAGCTGTGGAGACAGACCGGGGCAAGGTGGGAGGGGGGCTGCCACCTTGCCTCGCCCCTCTCCACCAATCAGAGACAAGGGGCATGGCCACATGATGGACAGCCCTCTCAGCCAATCAGTGGTGAGGGGCAGGGGCATACAATGGACAGCCCTCTTCACTAATTAGTGGCAGGGGGTGGGGCCACCAGGGACCCTCTGCCAATCAGAGGTGGCAGTACGCCCTTGAAAATGGCAGCCAGTCCTGGAATCTGCCCGTTAAATTGGCCGGCTGACTCCTCTAGTTAGGTAGACCCCTAATTAAAAGTATTTATGGCCTTTATGAGATGAGGGGGAATTAGATATTGGTAGAATACTGGTGAGTTGAAATGTTTGTCAGAGATATTTATACATTGATGTGGTAATACACAGCTATTTCCTTTCAGTAAGTTCTAGTAAATTTTATTTAAACAGAAATGGGCTTGTTTATTTTTCATAGGTATTTTGTAACTGATATTGATACGATTGATGTAATAAGGATTTATCTTCTAATTTAGTGTACTTCTACTATAAGCTACTGAGTCATAATAGTAGTTTTTAAATAAGTTGCTTAAGGATTCAAGTTAACTTTTAATAATGACAGCTGAAAATTTAACTGTTTAGTCCAACCTGAATATTTCTATATATTAGAAAAATAAAAGTATAAAAAAAAATTTGTAATTATGATTTAAAATTTTCTTTGTGATTGTGTAGTCTAGTATATTTTTAAATATGTTATGATGTAGTAAGCTATTCTGTCTAAAGAATTAGGAACCAATTATAACATACCAGGGTACCTATTTTAACAGAAAATATTTATCTTCAAAATATTATATTACCTCACTTCAGTTTTAGTGGAAGTTAGCACAGAATACATTTATTATAAATATATGGGCATGTATTAAGTGGGTATATTTTACCACAAAATACTTTTTCTTGCCCATTTGATATAGTTTATAGATCTGTAGGTAGATATTGTTTTACAGTACATTGCACTCAGTTGTGCAAACTTATCTTTTTAGGGTCAAAGAAGAACAAAAACCACAACCGACACAGTAAGTAACATCTCTTAAGAGTGTAGTAGGTTTGACTTTTCTACCTTTGCCATGTTCTGCTTCCTGCACCTTTGATGGTATTAGCTTTCAGTAATACCTAATAGGCTGCAGCTAGTTTGTCATCTGCTTCCTGACTGGCTTGTAAGAGAGCTGCCTGCAGCTTCTTACTTCATCCACATGTTAGTTGGATGTAGTTTCTTGCTGCCTGCTTGTGAACTGGTTAAGTGTAAAAGTTTATTTCCCTTACATCCTTAATGGCTGACTTACTATTGCAGCTAACATTTCCCATTGGCTGTAGCTTTTCCGCCTGTATATTTCTATTATTATTAGATAATAAAATATTTAAATTAGTGTGGTTTATTTGGTTATTCAGTCACATTATTTGCTTATTTAAACAGGTGGTTTCCCTTTAGTGGGATCACTGAGCTGGTAAATAACGTTCTTCAACCACAGCAAAAACAACAAAATGAAAAGGAGCCCCAGACGTAAGTAAGCTGCTCTCTGTAGCCTAAGTAATGTCTCTATAGCATTAGAACATACTGGAGTGTATGTTTAAAATAGTTGCCCATCAATAAAATTCTTAAAAGGGCATTCATTATACAAGTTGACACTGCCTCTGCTGTATGACCTTTGATTGGCAAGGAGAAATCTGAAAACTAAGTGAGGACCCATATTAGCCATCAGGTGTATGATTAGATTAGAATAAAATTTGTGGAACTCTTTCTGCTCCATTTAAGATCTCTTCTGTAGGTGCTCAAAAATGCAAACCCCACAGTGAAAGTAATATAAGAATGATAAGAAGCACAGTATTAAGTATAGTATATCTATGCAGAGGCATAGTCAGGCAGTTCCATACCCAAGGCAGCCATATGACACCTGGAGCAGCACTGGCTGCCATGGTGCTGATCGCAGTGGTACAATTAGCTACTGCTCTGGTCACAGCTATCCTTACAGTTCCCCCGCCCCACAACAAAGGCAGTGCCTGGGGCAGCTGTTCCAGTTGGCTTTCCTTAGTTATGCTGCAGTGTCTAAATATAGCACATAGACTGTATATGTGATATAGATCATGCATAGAACACTATACAGCTATATGTAATTTTTATAGCAACATAAACATAATAGCATAAGGGCTTTTTGAAGATCAGGAACATTCTGAACCATTTTTTTAATGCTTTTCTAAAGTATGTAACATTTCTGAGGTTTTGGAGATATGAGAAGAAATCTTGGCCTGTTCGTTGTCAGTAGGAATTTTGACTTCACTGAGGCCAGTATTTCAGCCATGGTTCTTTTACAGTGCCAAACCAGCATGATTTTTCCTTAAAGGCAGCTGTATGAAAAAATAACCATTCTTCCCATTTGAAAACAATAAGGTTGAACAGAACCTGGCAAAGCTAGGAGAGTCAATCTTATCATTTAATTTAAATAGTGCAGTTGCAAATATACTTCTAAAAAGAGGAAAGTTGAGAATAATTTTATTTTGAATTTCCTATTTTTTCTGAATGCTAAACTTCATTTAGGCATAAGTTCTTTACTTCTGGTATATTTGTTTTATGCAGAAAAGTATTAACAGTTTATATGAAAATTTTGGTTTTACATTTTGGGTTTAGGCAATTTTAAGACATGCAGATTATTACTTTTCTTGTAGTTTCAGAGACAGACATTTATAGTCTTAGCTAAAATGCATATATTTCAGTTGATTTACTTTTAATTAAAATCAGCCGTAACTAATGAGAACTTACCACGAAACATAGGAACATAAGATTCTTATATTTCATGACTTCATGATTAAGTCTTTAAGTATACAACTTTATTCCTAAACAGATACATGTGACAAATATTTATTTATAAAGATGTATATGTACTGTGTTGTTCTCATATACCTACACTTTTGCTTTGACTTGCAACTTTATTCTAATATCTGAAGTAATTCTGTACTGTACTTAATTACATTGCAATTTATGGTACTCTCTAGTTTTCTTCATTTCTCTGGCTGGCTGAGAAGGAGGTGGAGACTGCAGCTGGGAGATAGCAGCGTCTGCCTGGCTTCCGCCTGCCCTGCTCCCCCTTGCAGCTTGCTGCTCAAGCAGGGATCCCCCCCACTCTCCCACAGCATGGACCTCAGTGGCATGAACCCCAGCTGGCACCTGGTCATGGTCATACTGCCCCCATGCTAGCTAATGCTGAGAGATGCCTATGTGTTTGTCTCCAATTTCACTGCAGCAAAGACAGAGGGAACACTGTCCACTTAGGGCTTTTTGGAGCTAATTAACAGGTCAGCAGGTAATGTCCCTCTGTTCTTCCTTAAAATACTTTGCAAAAAGCTGTTTAAGAAGAGCTTGAACTAATGAGAGAGAGGCTTTGTTATCTTGATAGGCTGATAAGCTTTGTGTTTTTATAAGCTCCCTGCTGGCTTGCTGTCAGTGTTCAACAGGGGACAGAGAGAGGTGTGAGAAATGACCTGGTTCGCAATGAATGCAAACTTTGCTGCAGACAGTATGAAGAAGCAGGAAGAGGGAGATTGAAGATTGAAAAGATCAGCATCATGAACATATGTATGCAGTCCACACAAGCAGTTCCCTCCCCCCCTCCCCCCCATGGCAACACTCATGCCTCTTGAACAGTGAGTGAGGGGGAGAAGCCTGCCAAGGGCTGCTTCCCTCCTTGCCGTCTAGGCCCACCCCAGCTGTGGACTGTGCAAGCCATGGTGGGGGCCTCCCTAATCATAGTGTTCTGCCAGGGCCTGGCCATGCGGCCCCTCAGCTCAGCATTGTGGAAGCGAGGGGAGGGCTTGCTGTAGTGCCCCCTGGCTTCTAGACTGAGCTACTGAAGGCATGTGCAACCAAAGGTGAATGTCTAGCCACTTGCAAATCAGTTTGATCTCTGTAGGTTAAACTAACCTGCAAAGATTGAATCAATTCAGGCTCAGGCTTTTTAAATGTCTGTCTCTAGCCCAAATGTGCAGATCTGAACAGTTATTACATGCTGGTCCTAGACAGCAAATGAGAGAGAATGTAAAGAACTTCTAGATAAATGACTATGTGGATATGATGATTTTGCTATATTGACCTACTGGAGCTAGAAGTACCATGTTCTAGAAGTAGACTTTCTTAATGTGCATAAGTAGTGGTCTGTGATATGAATTAGTAAAACTGGAGGAGAAAAACCCAATTGATAGTTTTTCTCATTTATTATTTGGAACATAAATAGATTTAAGCACACCTGTTTTTAAGTGTGATTTTTTTTTTTTAATTTTGTTGAGAGAGAGAGAGAGAGAAGTTTTCTTTTATTTGGTTTGGGTGATACCTGTGTTTTGCCAAGGGAAGTTTAAGGAGAAGCTCAAATCTTCTAAAATCATTCATTTGGGTTGCTCACTGTATGGGTGAAGGTTCTGTACTGTCCTCTCCCTAAGCCTGCTCTGTCATGCCAGCAGGGAGAGGAGGAAGGAAATGGGTAATTTTTGCACAGTTGTACCAGTTCTAAACAAAGGGTAAAAGTGAATGGAAATGTCATGTAAAATAGAAGTAAACAGAATCTGGCAATGTCCCACAAGTAGAACTGTAATAGAACAGGTGACATACTGATTTCCCAGGTGGGGACTCAAGTCAGTAGCACCACAAAATTCTCATTGTGAAGCAGCTTGCCCTGCACTGTGAAGTTCTGGACCCTTAGAAGTAACGCTAGCGTTTCAGTCCTTTTGGGTTCAGCTACTAGTATAATTTAGCTTTGGGTCGCTAGCTTCTTTTCTGCCTGGTACTGGTCTCTGAGGGGTTTATGCAATTGGAGATTGCATAAACTTGGGAGCAGCTCACTACACTAGTTCTCTCTGTCATAAAGTTTTGTACTATTGCCTGTTGCCATAGAGTCTTGGCATCTTCTGCCTGAAGTTGAGATAACTTTGTGCTGAATTTTGCAGCATCTCTTGCTTTGCTTTGAGGTAGAAACTCTGCTAGTACTGTTTTGAGGCTGGTGGGGGATGAAATGTATTGTTGCATCAATGTTGCTAATTTCACTCTTGCTACAGCGTAAAAACTTGCTAGGGAGGAAAGTTTTAGCACATTACCCAGTCCTGGTCAGATACAGGATTTATCTGATGTTCTATGGAAATTTATTCTGTAACCAGTGTCTCTTGACTGAGAATGTTTCAGAAAAAGAAAGTTTATAAAATGTATTGTTTAAAGATATGTTCAGAATATCAGTATTTTATTTCTGTGCATGAATATTTGGTTTGTTGAAATGTTAGTATATATATGCATTATTGTTCTCATAAAATGATTGATTTCTTAATTTATCATAGAAGTCGGGTTGGAAGAGACCTTGTAGATCTTCAAGTCCGACCCCCTGCCTGGGCAGGAGAAAAAACTGGGCTCAAATGATCCCAGCTAGGTAGGCATCAAGCCTCCTCCTTAAAGACCCCCAGGGTAGGAGCCAGCACCACTTCCCTTGGAAGTTGGTTCCAGATCCTAGCCGCCCTAACTGTGAAGTAGTTCTTATGGATGTCTAATCTAAACCTACTCTCCAATAGTTTATGGCCGTTATTCCTTGTTATGCCAGGGGGCGCTAGGGGAAATAAGGTCTCTCCCAAACCCTTCTGGTCCCCCCTAGTGAGTTTATAGATGGTCACCAGGTCCCCCCTCAGCCTTCTCTTG